GTACTGGCGCACCTGACAGCCAATGGGCTGTCAATAGGCGACTGCTGGCAGGTGTCCAATGAGCGGTCACTAGGTGACGGCTGACGTAGCTGGCAGCCAATGGGCTGTGAGCATTGAGAAATCCTAGAGCCCCGTGACCAATGAGAAGCTCGCCAGGCCGCGGCGCGAGGCTGCTGGAGGCTCGTGCAGCGAGGCGGCTGCGTGTCCATGGTGCCTCCGCTGTTGCTCCTGCGGAACGTGCAGCCTTTGTGGCGCAGGCCCCCAGCAGAGTCACGTGGACTCCGCATTCCCCAGCTCCTCGCCAGCCCCGCACCAAAAACCAGCTTGTCAGTCTGTAAAGTGCTGCACAGTCCTGTGCTTCAGGCATCTCCGCTGAGCGAGGAGGCAGAGGGCACAGGGGTAGGCTGGGCGTGGGGTGTGTGGCCAGGCGAGACGGCTGAGCTTTCGGGGTGTGTTGGGAGCGAGGGTGCCTGGCCGGAGGGGGTACAGGAGTAAGCTAGCTGCAGGGTAAGGTGTCAGGGATCAGAGGGGTAGCAGTGTTAGTCTGGCTCTGCGAAGCGACAAGGAGTGGTTGTGTACGGTGTGTTGAGAGCGAGGGTGCCTGGCCGGAGGGGGTACAGGAGTAAGCTAGCTGCAGGGTAAGGTGTCAGGGATCAGAGGGGTAGCAGTGTTAGTCTGGCTCTGCGAAGCGACAAGGAGTGGTTGTGTACGGTGTGTTGAGAGCGAGGGTGCCTGGCCGGAGGGGGGTACAGGAGTAAGCTAGATGCAGGGTAAGGTGTCAGGGATCAGAGGGGTAGCAGTGTTAGTCTGGCTCTGGGAAGCGACAAGGAGTGGTTGTGTACGGTGTGTTGGGAGCGAGGGTGCCTGGCCGGAGGGGGTACAGGAGTAAGCTAGCTGCAGGGTAAGGTGTCAGGGATCAGAGGGGTAGCAGTGTTAGTCTGGCTCTGCAAAGCGACAAGGAGTGGTTGTGTACGGTGTGTTGGGAGCGAGGGTGCCTGGCCGGAGGGGGTACAGGAGTAAGCTAGCTGCAGGGTAAGGTGTCAGGGATCAGAGGGGTAGCAGTGTTAGTCTGGCTCTGCGAAGCGACAAGGAGTGGTTGTGTACGGTGTGTTGGGAGCGAGGGTGCCTGGCCGGAGGGGGGAGGTGGCAGCCAATGGGCTGTGACCATGGGACTGACTGACCTGACAGCCAATGGGCTGTCAATAGGCGACTGCTGGCAGGTGTCCAATG